CGCCTTTAGCAAGTCGATATCATCCTCTGATAAACAATCTCCACCTATTCGAGTCATGGCAGCATGTCAGACCGAGAACCCGCAGCAACACGGTGAGAACACTGACCGGCATTATTTGCTTCCCTCTCAAAGTTCTCACCGAGGGCTTCCTCTGGTGGCACCTCCAGCGCGGACAACTCCTCATCATATAGGTCCATCAGCGCCTCGATCAGGTCCTCATCATCGTCCTCCAGTTGTTCAGCATTATCCTCATTTATGTCTTCGTCATCCATGCCCTGATCTCCTAATAAGTCATCTCCGTCCTCGGAGTCACTGCTAGTACCATCCCTTGGAGCTCTCCGTGAACGTAGCCATGGCCCCCGCAATTCGAGGAAATCGTCTCCCGTGATGTCCTGGCCCTGCCTGTCTCCTTCCAGGTCTGGGAGAGTATCAGGGGCTTCGACCATCGGTGGGGCGGTCAAGGCTTTAATATCTACCCCTTCAGCGTTGCTTAACATTTCGGGGGACCTGTACCGAGAGCCGCTTGGTAGGTTATGCTCTTCCCTCACGGTCCTCGGACGCTTGCTCGGTCGGAGGAAGTCTGTGTCTGCTAGAACATTGGCCACTATCCGCGTGGGCCCTTGTCCCTGCAGATGGCGAGTCTGGGTATTTGGTGTGACCATCTTTGCACACCCACATGCACAGAGGACCTTTGGGACTGGGCCTCTTCCAGGTGCCATCGTAAGGTTGCGTAATGTGTGGTGAGTTTCGAGAGACTATGTTTCAAGCAGACGCTAAGTCCAGGTATTGCGCGTGGTGCGAAAGACGCGTCGCATCAACAAGATAACGCGCGTCAACAACGCGCCCACGTGATGGCTCGACAACGGTCGAAAGGCATCATCGCCCGCTTCCCGTATATAAGAGTGATGGCGTTGTGGGTCCCCCTCGAACCCCCCTTTCCTTTGCGCCGCATCAGGAAAACCAATATATTACATAGTGATGGCCTATGCTACCGGCACCCCCGAGGGCTACGAGGGTAGGATCCCGTCCCAGGTAGGCCCACATAGGTATCGTAGGCCTAAAGATGCATGATGGAGGCTCTGGTAGGCACAGGAGTTAGAATACAAGCCGAAGTAGTCTTAATAGGTATTGGTAAGTCTACCATATAACACTGAGACCTACCAATGTTTCCTTCAATTAACTACTCTACTGCCAAATCAGCCGTGCTAAGCAAAACATAAATAGGTCCATCCAAATGTTGAGATAGAAATGGCGACTCTGATCAAGGACATTATGGGTGTCCCATGTTCTAGGAACCCGGGTACCAAACTTCGGGAACAGATGACAACTCCGCATAATACGATCTAGAGGGATGACTTCAGTGAGAGGTGAGTGGTTTCGAGAGGCTCGCGACGTGCTAAGAAGTCCGAGGTGCATGTCATTGGACCGGAGGGGGGTGAACCACTCTACATATGCCAGTCGACAAGCTTGCTCTGGGCAAACACGGAGATGAGCTGGTAACTTGAAAATAACTCGGACCTGAGCAACCCTTAGCCCGTCGAGATCGGTCAGATTTGGTCTCCCGGCTACTGAGACAAGCACTGTATCGGCATGCGCAGGCGTTCCATTTCGTCCGAGTCTGCCTGGTACAGCAGGAGATGCTCGTACGCAATCCGCTCTTCGAGTTGGCTCAAGAGGGAGCAGGTTTGGCAGACGGATTTTGACATGCTTGTAAACGTCAAATCGGTCTGCCGTTGTTGGTATGAGAATACGTCGACCGGGCGAACACGATGTTTGCAAATATTGTGTCAGCGCTGATAAGAACTGCGGAGCCTTGAAGTCTTGCATGATCTTGCCAGCCGGAATCTGTGGAAATGTTGGTGTACGAGGCAGGATAAGGCGGTGTTCCCCCGGTGGTAATGTAGATGTCGGGCCTTCGTCTTCATTTTCATCACTGTCGTCGGTTTCAGCATCAGTCCCTACATTATCAGTCTGGCGAGAGGTATCTCGAGCCGTTTTGCACCAGTCGAGATAGATAGTGAACTGATTGACACGTTCTTGACGGTCTAACCAGCGTGTCATTTGTTCGGTATACTCACGCTTATTCGTGGCGTGGTACGCATCCTTCGCGAGATCAATATGCAGCCGTTCGGGGAGCTCGGTATTGTATCCGTCGGCAGATCCGCGAGATTTGATTGAGTCTAGATAGTGCTGGATGGCGTGCAACTTTGGGAAATTAAAGTCGTCGCGGATATTGGGCTGTAAAAACACGTCCTTGTATTCATGGAACTCGCACAGGGCCGCATCCATCAAATCTAGCGTGACATCTGTTTGAGTGTGGAACTGCGAGTAAGCGGCGAAGTCGAGCATTGCACGTGCAGCTTTCGCGACAGCAGGTTGTACTGCACCGTTCAAGGCACCGAGCAAGACTTTCTCAAGCTCTCTTGACTCTCTGCCAGTCCACTGAGATATGACCGAGATACCGTGCTTGAAATGACGAATATCTGGATGGTCGGGCATGCAAGCAAAGCGCTCGTCAATCTCCTGCTTTCCAGCTATAGTTACACACCATGAGAGCAGGTGATCTTTGATAATGCCTTTATGGACTTGATGCAAAAGATCTGGCATAAAACAATGGAAGATGTCGGTATGGGGAAGATCCGCCCAGAAGGGTTTGTCGACCGGCCTCAGACCTTCGTCAAAGAATGCTTTGACACGGCGTCCAGTGGCTCTATGCTCCAGAATTTTCTTCGTGCGCTGAGATTCCCGAAACCTTATGCACTCGAGCAGATCACCGAGCTCCGTGGGGTCAACGAGACACTGCGGACAGCGATTTTGTTTGCAGCAAGCTATAAGGCATCTCTCCGGATGGTCTGCAACATAGGCCGCCAAGATAGGGAAGATACGCCGAACCCAGCGGTCAGCGCAAACCATCTCAACACCTTCAGATCCTGCCTTGACAAGCGACGTCAAGATGCGACGCATGCAGAAGTGAAAAAGGCGGTAGCCTACGGCCGCCTTGGCGTTCTCGGAGACACAGCTGAGCTCAGGAATAGGGAGATATCCGATAAGAATCATTGCATGCGATGAAGGTACGCGTCTCGTCCCCTTCTCAATGTTCCCTATGGTAAGATACACAGGCCAAGCTTCCTTGTCACCTCGATGCCTCGACAGCTGTGTCTTATCCGATGCCAGGATTACGGGTGCAACAGTCGCGCCGGGGGGGAGCTTTGACTTCAGGCAACACGAAGTGGTCACTGGTCAGTGCTTTGTCTTTATGTAGATCGCACACTCTCACCTGGGTTTCCCACCACCAGTCACCGGTCCACATTTCATCATACATCCGATTTTGCCCCTGCGGATCGACGTACACACGCTCCGGTGCGTAGGCCTGCTTTCCTTCAAATGCAGGATTTCCTACTAACTCGCGCACACACTCGACAGGGTCTCGGTACCAGAGCTCGACCTCCTCATGCATCGGCTCTCCGTTCCCGTCAAACTCGGTCCCGGCAATTGTTATCACCTCCTGGATCCACGGTGCGCCCACTGTGGGCAAACTGTCCACTTTCTCGTTCAAGGAGTGCCTGTTTTTGTATGATGGCTTTGTCCGATTCCGAGTCTAAGTGTAACACAGGTGAGAAAGATCAGAGTCATCAGATATCAATCACGGCACGGCTTACTATAGGTAACTTCAAAAACTCGTCCATCTGACTCTGACCCATGTTCTGTACCAACCATCGAGCCAGCTCCCATTCTTCCTCATCCTGAAACGGATCCCAGATTATCTTCTCTTGACACTCTTGCACCTCCCGGATGGTATCAAACTTCGTATTTTCCCGCCTTATCCCCTCTCCAGCCCTCCCCGGGTACGACTCTGCGAATCGTGTCGCTCGGTCGCTATCCACTTCATCGACAGGATTGCCGCCAGTTGACGCTCCAATGGGCGCTCCTGTATCGTTTGGAGAGGGCGCTGATCGGGGCTCAAAAGCCTGTTCGGTGACTGTGGGAGGGTCGTCTTGCGGTAACTCAGACTCTGGTACGTGTCCTTGCTCTGGATCTGAGTCCTGTTGACTATCCGTGCTGTCCGATTCATTGTCCGCATCAAGGTCGTGTGTGGTTATAGTAAATGACTTCAACTTTTCGATATACTGACTGTAGCAGCTTTTCCTCCTCTTCACATGTATTTTCAGGCCGTTTGTCGTCGGTAGGTGTTTGCCGCAGTATCCGCAAACAGGCATCTCACAGAATAGAATAGGTTGGCAGTGTAACTCAAGAGCACAACGGGAGTTGTCGCCAGTGTAAACTTCGCGTCGCGCGACGCGACTCCGATACGTGTGAATTTTGGCACCTGCACGTTGCCGAGTTCCACCTCAACTGACCGCGAAACTTCTAGATGCATCAGTGCGCCCCCTCCATTTAAGTCATCATCACAGTACGTTCACTCGCAATACATTATCGCCGTTCATGTCTAAGTCAGTCTCAAAGAAACGTCGATCTGAAGTCGATGCTCTGCTTGAAGATGCTGGCTCATCACGGAACCTTGGTAAACGGGCGCATAGACCCTCAGAAAAGCAACTCGAGAACGGTACATCAATCACCCTTTGGCTAGATCGAAGCTGCTGACTGTTCAGGTATGCAGATCGGGATGTAGAGAGACAAATGGTGCAGCGCCAAGTAAGTAAGGAAAAGGCAATACAGCGTGAACGTCAAGCAATAGAAGAAGCAAATGGATTTCAGGACTACCGGGAGCTTTGTAAGTCAAAATAGCTTCGTCTATATGTAATTCACTTGATTTCGACATGAATATCAGCACCGGAGTCAGAGGAAGATATGGACTATAACCTTACAGACAATAGGGCGATGGTGAGACAAATGCTTCCCTCTCGTCTCTGAAGAGTTACTGAGGCCTCGTACAGTTTACTGTCCAAAGGATCGAGCGGACATCACGTCCGAAGCCTCAGAAAGCACACCAGGGCTTATCCAAGGAGAATATCCCTCCGAAGAGGGGTCGAGCATCAGTAAGTTCGATGCTTTCTTAGCCATGCAATCATCTAATGGTGCTTGCATCGGAAGGCGACTGCGACCTCTGCTGAATCAAGCGGACAGCGAGTCGTGAACTTAGTTCCACGTCATAGCCATATCCCGCCGCCCTCATTCGCACCGGCACCTTTACGGAACTCGCATGCAAACGCTTCGGTGAACAATGGCAATATTCGAGGCCAGGGTCATCATACAACAGCTCAGATTTCCTCAAACCAGCAGCCGCTCTTTGAAGATGAAGTAAGTGATCGTGAGAGGTACGTCTTCGTACTCCTGTTTGGTGTGATGATTAAGCTTACTAGTCACTGACACTTAGCCGTGTTTCTTACTATGACACCGACAATAATTACAACTTTGACGACAAACCTAGCGACAAATGCTCCGAAGTAGCAACAGATGAAGAAGAACAAGCACCCCGACTCCGTCGTCATAGGCCCAGGCATGCTCGCGTCGATTCATCACCGCCTCCATCTCGATCGCCAGTTCCATCTCACTCACCGTCTCCATCCCGCTCACAGTCTCCAGCCCACTCACGGCTTACATCCTACTCTCCACCGCCATCTCACTCTCGATCGACGGCTCTTGGAGATCACCACCAACGGCCCATGTCTCCGGTTCCATCTGTTGACCATCACAGCTCTGCGCCAGATGACAACAATCGTAACGACCTACGTACGCGAGACAATACCCAATCGCGTAGGTCTTCGGGCGAGAAGCGCAAACGTATGCCACCGCCACGGTCTGCGAGTCCATCTGGCCTGCGAGTCGTCAAGGCCCGGAAGCTGCGCAGCGGTGGCAGCCGTGGCAGACCGCGAGGTAAGGATTGGGATATACTTACCCGGCAAGTACTCGACGATGCGTGGGGTCACTTCCGTGCGCGCGTCAGTACTGAATATCCTTATCCCGGTCAGGAAGAAGAGGAGACGTGGGCCGGTGAGGCATGGGTGAAGGCGTGCCGAGCAAAAAATATTGATATGGAACTCGAAGATGAACTTGTGAAGACGGTGCGTGATCATATTCAGGCTTGTCTTTCCTTGGTCTGAAGTATAGTATGAAGATAATTCAGCGCGGATCACAAGTTCGGGGCAAGCTGAAGGAGCAGGCTGTCCTGCTGGTGCCTCAAGCATATGGTCTTCGCGCGACTGCTTCAGATAAGGATATCCGTGAAAATCGCGATAAGGTTGCTAGATTGACGGGGGGGCAGAAGCCGACGTTTATCTACCAGGTATGAGCGCATGCACTTCTATTTAATGCCTCGACTAAATAAGTGACTCCTTAGAATCCCGATACTCGTTACCGGATGTATGAACACGAAATCATACAGACGCTGATCAATGCTACATGGTTTCGGAAGAAGAATGATACTGGTGTTCGATATGCCGAGTACTTCAAGCGGGGCATTCCTCTCGTCACGATTGCCCTCGTGCTGACTGCGGTGCGTTGAATTCTGTCTTTTAGACTTATATTTTCTTATACTACTCAGGTTGAAAATGTCCTGGATGAATGGGCCACCGGCAAATATGTCCGGAAAGACTTCTCGGAAAGAGCTTACAAGGAAACTTTCGAGAAACACTGTCGACTGTTGGAAGACTTCCGCGAGCAGACACGGGAGCTACGTGTCCTCAAGCACATCCGGCTCGAACTTCTGGGCAATGCTAGGTGAGTGATCAGGCCATTGATGATCATCCGATGCTAACATCAGCGTGACCTAATTACAGAGAGCGCGCTGGCGTTGCTCGACACGATCATGGCGCTGATGTCCCCCGGTTTGACAACGAAGAGATTCGTGCTGTGCTGGATGATTGGCGGGAACGAATTCGTGATGATTCCGACGGAGTAGATAGTCCCAATGACTCGGGAGATGATAAATGATCGATAGCTGACTGCAGATTAATAAAAACAATTATCTTCATAAGCTACACCCTATTGATACGTAGTCTCGATAGGTCTACAGAAAACGTATCCTAGGTATACGCCGTAGTCTGAATAGGGTTATATGTCAGCCTACGAAGGTCTGGTTCTGCCTCTCATGACCTACGGCGGCCCTATGAAGGTTTTCTATTCACCTATCATGGACTACAAAACAGGGATTTTCCAAATTAACTACTGTGCCTATGGAGACTTCGTATTCCAACGAAGACTAATGGCTTTTTCCTGATGCGTGACAACACCGAGTTCCCACCGCACTCGTGCAGACCCCTCAGACTCCGTTATCATGGTTGCTCCTGGTGCAAAGCGCAAGACCCCTGCTCGTTCCCAGCGCAATAATCGCACACACCCAGCTCAGCAAACACCCACCGCGACGACGACTCCGACTGCGACGACGACGCCGACTGCGACGACGACGCCGACTGCGACGACGACGCCGACTGCGACGACGACGCCGACCGCGACGACGACGCCGACCGCGACAACGACTCCAACTGCAACGATGACTCCGATGCCTGCCGCAACGCACACGCCCACTGCCGCTGCGGCCTCTGCCAATCCAGCCGCGCAGATAACTCCATCCATGATCGCCGTGCCGGACGCGGCACCCCCCACTGCGGCGATGACTGGCCCTCCGACCGCCGTAGCCCTCATGGCGCCGAACAATCCGGGTGGACCACAGGTTCCCCCTATTCAGCAGGCGATGGTTCACGCACCGGTTCCTGTCACTAGCCCTATGGCAGCGGTTACTCAGGTACCATCGGTAGCAGCAGCACCGTCAACTAATGCACTCCAACCCCTACCTAATCAGGGTGTCAACCACATTGGAGGTGCTACTCACAATCAAGCTTTGCATGACACTATTGCCCAACTACAAGGTGCGCATTGTGTCCCTTTGCTCAGATTATGCTCTGAGAACTTGTAATAGCCCAGCTTGCTGCTGCCCAGG